TACCTCTCTTCTCGCTTGGACACCTCGTTCAAGTTTCATGGTTGTCAGATTTTGAGATCTGTACCTGCAGATATGTTTTTTAAAGGGTATAATCCACAATGCCAGTTGCTCTAGAAGTAATCACTTTTCACATCTCACTGCTGCTCTGAACAGTCCATCATTCCAAAGAAAACATGCACCAGATATACAGCACTTACTTTTATTTAGTGGAATAAAACTGCATGGTAAAATCATTCGTATTTGATTTTTGACATGGACGATTTTATGCAGGCTTTATTTCACCATTGTAAAGCTTAAAGAGACCTATTGCGGCATCTGCACAATATAAAAACATTGCCATTTAGAATGCACAGTAAATATGAATAATTTGCATATATATCAGGAACCTTCTTAATTTAGTTTTATTTTTAAATAGAGTTTTTACCGTTCACTGTGTCAGATAAAACTGAACTGATTACTCCCCTTCGATTTAGATGTAATGTTGCTTCATGAGATTTGAACAGAGTTAGGACTTGTGCTCAGGGCCAGATTTACTCTCTCTGCTGCCCCAAGGCCAGGTTCCCCAATGCGCCCCCCTACCTGCCAAACCCCCCATGGAGAATGGCAGACCTGCAGGCTACATGCAAGTGACCTCGATGGCACCGCCGATATCACTTGTACAAAACAAGCGGCGACTTCCCTGCTGTACATTTAGCTCTGCTTGCCCAAAGCAGGGCTAAATGTAGAAAACAACTACCCGCACGGCGCCCAGAACTGCATGTCCCGGGCATCGAGAGATAGGAATTCCACATCCCTGCTGCCCCTCTACTCCCTGCTGCCCCAAGGCCCGACCTTGGCTGGCCTTGTGTGAAATCCAGCCCTGCTTGTGCTGTGGGCTTTAGCTTGCAATTGAGCTGCTTCTCTCCCTATGCATGTCTGTGGGAAGCAGGTAAGATACAGGACAAAGGAGATGAACTGCAGGTCAAATACACCTGCCAATGAATTGTGAATGATATCAGAAGTGCCTTAAACTGATGTAAAAAGAAAAATGCAAGTGCCTACTGGTCAAAGTCAGAAGCTGGACGACACAGGTCCTTGCAGCCCATTCACAGTATTGTGTTTTACCTGCTGTAAAATGCACATTCACAGTGCCCTCAAAAGATAATAGTTTCCATTATAGTCTATGAAGTTCTTCATATCAGTGTATTGCACAGGGCCGTCTTCAAGGCAGGGAAAAGGGGCACTTTAAGGCATTGTTGTGGGGCTCTGCACCCCATAAACTAGAGCTGGTGAAAGTTTGAAACGTTTCTGTACCAGCCGTCTAGTGTGCACTACCGCTTTCCGACGCTAGAGGGCAGCAGCCTCCTGTCCCACTCCCTATGTGCAGCAAAGATCTCTGCAGCCCGGGATGTCACCTCCCACTCAGTAGAGGAGGAAGATCGATTTTGCACACCAGGCTACATGGTCCTGCCCTCCTCCCTCCATGGCTGCAGTCTCATCCTCCCCCTGTCCACGGTGAGTGCACATGACTGCTGGGTTGGGCTTCTATTGGGTGGGGGGGAGAAAGGGGACGCGGGGTGGTCGGCTTAGGTGTGGCACTGCTGGGCTATGATGTAATGCTGTATAAAAATAATAATGACACCTGAGCATGTCCCCCTGGTGGCATTATTATGTCCCCCCCATGTCATTATTATTATGTCCCCCCAGTGTCATTATTATTATTATGTCCCCCTGGTGTCATTATTATTATGTCCCCCCGTGTCATGATTGTTATCTCCGTCCCCTGGTGTCATTATTGTTATGTCCGTCCCCAGTGTCATTATTGTTATGTCCATCCCCTGGTGTCATTATTGTTATGTCCATCCCCTGGTGTCATTATTGTTATGTCCATCCCCTGGTGTCATTATTGTTATGTCCATCCCCTGGTGTCATTATTGTTATGTCCATCCCCTGGTGTCATTATTGTTATGTCCATCCCCTGGTGTCATTATTGTTATGTCCATCCCCTGGTGTCATTATTGTTATGTCCATCCCCTGGTGTCATTATTGTTATGTCCGGGGATAATAACACCAGGGGACATAATAATTATAATGACACCAGGGGGACATAATAATAATGACACCAGGGGGACATAATAATAATGACACCAGGGGACATAATAATAATGACACGGGGGGGGGGCATAATAATAATAGACACCAGGGGACATGCTCAGGTGTCATTATTATTATTGTTGCTATTCTATGCAGTGGAAGTGGTAGGTGGCGAATTATCCACATTTACCATGAAAGTAGAATTATGGGGAGAGTGAAATGCGCTCTTCCCCTAGTTACTGAAGCTACCGCAGGTTGGCTCTCTTGATCGAGAACTGAGCGATCATATACCGCTGATCACTCAGTTCCTGCACTCACTCTCTCTGCAGAGAGCGGTGACTGTCGGTCACGGCTCCTCGCAGGAATACCCCCCTCCCCTCTCTGATCCTCCAACGCTGACTGGAGGGATGGATGGGGCGGACACAACCTCTAGAGAGGTAGAGTCAGCTGTCAATCAGGTGGTGGGGTGGATCTGGACAATATTTTTTGGATCCATCCCAGCTGCAGCGTGGCTCTGCTCTGTCAGCATATAGTGGGCAATATTGCATGTTTGCCCGGGGTCCAATCAATATTAAAGACGGCCCTAGTATTGCATTACAGAACAGTCTGTTGCGTTTCTGAAAAATCCTGTTTGCTACATCTTTTGCATGTTTTTTAAAAAATGGCCTTTACAGTAGTCAGTTGTAACGTACTAAAACGCAGTAATTTAGTTAGTGCACTTTTATTCACTATATGCTGAGTTTTGGGTCACATTAGTAAATGTCCTGTAAACCCTAAAGAGAACTACGGCCAAAAAAGGTTTGGTCATAGTTCTCTAAGCTTTGAAATGAAAGCTAGAAGCTGATTGGTTGCCATGCACAAGATTTTGTCTGCTCCAGTAAATTCCCGCAATATTTGCAAGTTAGAAAAAAAAAAGCCCTACCAAAATTGAATTTTGCATTGTTCTTATCTCATAGCCTGATAAAAAAAAAACACCACTGTATGATATTGTCATTTTAATATAAGTTATAGAAATAAATCTATTTGCATTCCTTTAGCAGTAAAAAAAAAGGGCCTTCAGGGTAGAGCATCCCAGACCTGGTAAGCCTTAACTTTCATTTCTAAAGGGGCTGTTTTGATTAAGATGTACTATAAAATACATTTAATACACAGCCAAAATATCTAAATAAATATACTGTCTCTGGAAGTGGTGATAAATAATTCAGACTATGATGTTTCTAATAAAAATGCATTTGAAATAAACATGAGCTTGCTTTCAATCAATTTTTTCCGATTTTCATTTGACTTTTCCACTTCATCTCAAAATAATATATAGACTGTCACTCACGTCTTTCCTAGAACATAAACTTTCCCCAGTAGTTATCTGTAAGATGCACTTAGCTAAGTAAAAAAAAGTGAAGAGTTGGAAAAATGTGAAAGCCCGTAAAGCAGACCTGTCTCCACTTAAGACCCCCCACAGCCTACCATCCTGTCACCTGTCAGGTTGTGTATGCTTCTCGCACTCGCTCCCTCTTCCCCCACCACCTGCATAAGAGCATTTGAAGAGGAACCGTGTCAACTGTTGAAAGAAACAACCAACTATCCTTAAGATATTTTTAATGTTTTTAGATTTGCATTTCTACAACGATTTAAAGGTTTACATGGAGTGTTCTCAAGCTTGTGGCTATGCTGGAGCAACTCTTGAACACAAAGTAACTTTTCAATCAAAGATGGCATTTCCTCTGAGCTTTTCAACAGATCACAGCAAAGAAGCCTGGGAAAACAAAGGTCTTAAAATGGTTGGCATTTCATCCACCGTGAAAATATGGGACCTGCCTGAAAGAAAAATGTCTCCTCTTTAAAGTGAATTGATTGATTAATGTAAATTTAAAGAGTAGAAGTAAATGCAGATATAAAAAATGAAGAGTTTTCATGTGTATTATTTGCAGTAACCAGGTGCTGCTCTAAAATTCCAGATTTAGAAGTCTCATTTCCCAACTAAATGTTATATTGGTCCCACTAATGGCCAGGGCTAGATTTATATATTTTTTTTCTCCACTAGGCAGGATACCTAATACCACCACCCCCATATTGTGTCACCTCCCCTTCCCCAACATATAAAGCACCAAAACGAATTTATCAAGAACTACAGTATTACAAATTGCAAGGTTATGATCATACTTATAGAAGTTGAATTAAAACTGAATGTACTAAATCACAACTAGTAACATGTCTGCAGAGAGAGCATTAATTATGTACTGACACAATCTGAATCCACCATATGGTCCACAAACAACCAGATACCTTTTCGCAGACACATAGTCAGTACTGGATTGACACTGTACGCCAGGGATAGGGGGATCACTTAGGAAAGCATGGGCACTGCATTTGCAGCATTATTGGCAGCATGACACCTCTAATAATGCCTACTAAGGGGTTGATCAAGTAGTTGTTTGGTTAAAGGATCTTGGAGCCTATAAATACATAGCTTTGGCAAAAAGGGTTGCAGGAAAAGTGCTGGACAAGCGTCCACACCTGTCGTGATGCCTTAGGGCACATGTGTCAAACTCAAGACCCAGGGGCCGAATCCAGCCCACCAGGCCATTTCCTAGACTTCTACTTTCAGATCTAGGTATTAAGTTATTACTAAAACCAGTGATAATCGAATGCAGAGGCAATTATGATAAAGATTAGATACATTTCCATAGTCTTACAGATACCTTTGAGGGAAACCATAATGATAATGCGGCCCAGGATTAAATTTAGTTTGACACCCCTGCCTTAGGGCATGGCTTTGGTGGCCCACTGCAAAATTCAGCCCTATTGTACTAAAGTGATTAGAAAACCCATGAACATGTATTTGGTAAGCTTTAACATGACCCTAGTTTTGACCCTAGTTCCCTGTGACCCTAGGGAAGGTTACATAACTTGGTTTTGCATGTACGCAGGTAAGACGAAGATGCCATCATGCCAAGCCAGAACTGACCTCAATGATACATTAGCTCATCATAGAGCAGGTACAGTCTCAGATACAGTTTTTTATCTAGTGTGGTAACATCTTTAGATATTCCAGACTGTCCATTGAAATTCTAACATCAGATAGCTGGCATTTATACTCTGTATTTAACAGTAAAATAATTTCCATTATGTGAGAAATATGTGAGAATTTAGTAAAATGAACAGATATATTAGAAACTATTTACCTGAATATTAAGATTTACTTGTTCTCATAAGCAACACGTATAAATGTCTAGTTACTTATATTTCAAGCACACTATGCACTGTACTATATATAGAGCCATATATCATGTAATTGTTGCATAATCACAGTAGCATATTGAGGATCTTAGGAACAGAGAGAAGCATAAAAGGTTTCAGATGTCTCGCAAATGAATCAGTAATTCAAGGTACCAAACAGTAGGGTTTAATGACTAGTGCAGGCAAGGTCAAGTTGGGTAAAGGAAGCACAGTCAGTTGTTACTGACTGTGTTGTGGAATTTTGACAACCATATGAGGGAAGTTTCAGATTTCATGTGGTATCATCTAGAAGTTATGTTATTTGAGGTTTGTTGCCCTTGTGTTCTGACAAATCTGATACATTTAGAATACTTTAGAAATAGATTTAAGGTAAATAAGGTAAGCTCTATACAAAACTGATATTTTTTGATTGGAGTAGGCATTTGTATATTGAATTACTCACTGGCTTGTTCTAACAGTATAAGCTTCCATTTCAAGAACTGCTTGTAGTAGTTTGGGTCTCTACACCTTTTCACCAGGCTATAACACAAGTGTCACTCTCAATTGTGGTCTTTCCACAAGGCTATAACACAGGTGTCACTCTCAATTGGGGGTCTGTGACAAAGCACTGAGAACAGCAGGAAATACCTCAGACTTTTATCTTGTGTCCTTTGCTAATCTGGAAAAAGATACAGACTTTTTAGTGAATACAGTGTGATCTTCCCTTTTTCTCCATTTGACTATATTGAGGCTTGCAATGAGCCTAGATCTACATCTAAGTTCTGCTGTTCTGGCTATGCTTGGAGCAACGCGTGGCAGGTGTTATATCATATGCATGTCATTTTCAATTATATGTTAATTCAGCATTTTTGAAGTTACTGTGAAGGGAATTTATCAAAATCTGATGCAGTTGCCCCTGGCAACCAATCAGCTTCTCTCTTCAGTTTGTTCAGTTAAGATTTAAAAATGAAAGAGGGAAGCTGATTATTTGACGTTCACAGCTGCTCCAGATTTTGTCTGCTCCAGTTTTGATAAATTCCCTCCTGTATATCTTTGGCAACATGACTGCATCATTTGGCTTGGCCAAGGCAATTGTTTAAAACTAGGAATTCTGGTGGTAAATTGCTACCAATCTTTCTCAGATACAGTATGAGAAACTATAACTATCATTTTATACTAAGCTACTGTATACTATAGTAACCGACTACGTAGAACTATAACCCCAATTCCAAAGAAGTTGGGATGCTGTGTAAAATCTACATAAATACAGAATGCATTGATCTGCACATCTCATAAACCCATATTTTATTCACAATAGAAAACATGAAATGTTTGAGCTGAGAGAATTTACCATTTTAAGAAAAAAAATAAGGAATTTTGAAATTGATGACGTTTCAAAAAAAGTTGGGACAGGGCCATGTTTATCAGGGTGTAGCATCTCCCCTTCTTTTACCAACACTTTGTAAACGCCTCAGAGCTGGGGAGACCAGTTGCTGGAGTTTTGGGAGAGGAATGTTGTGCCATTCTGGCCTGATATCGGATTCGAACTGCTCAACAATCCTGGGTCTTCTTGTTGTATTTTTCGTTTCAAGATGCGCCAAATTGTCAATTGGCGAAAAGTCTGGACTGCAGGCAGGGCAGTTAAGCATCCAGACTCTTCTACTACGAAGCCATGCTGTTGTCATAGATGCAGTATGCAGTTTAGAATTGTCCGGATGTAATATACAAGGCCTTCCCTGAAAAATACATTTTATGGATGGGAGCGTATGCTGCTCTAAAACCTGGATATATCTTTCAGAACTGATGTTGCTTTTCCAGATGTGCAAGCTGCCCATTCCATACACACTAATGCACCCCCATACCATCAGAGATGCAGGCTTTTGAACTGAGCACTTATAACAAGCCGGAAGGTCCCTCTCCTCTTTAGTCCGAGGACGTAGCACCCATGATTGCCAAAAAGAATGTCAAATTTTGATTAATCTGCTCACAGAACAGTTTTCCAGTGATTGTTGGGAAGTAATTACTGTGCCTTCTGATGCAAGTCTCACAAAGAGAATCTTCTATACAACCTCATAAATAATCATTAATATTTATATTTGCCTAAGTTAAGTTATCTTTGCAAGAATTCTACACATGAGAACCTATATAACCCTAAAACAGCTAATAAAACTGAGTTTTTGTATGTTTCATGTGTTTACTGACATAGGTTTGATTTAAAAGACTTATTTAATAATACATTGAAAAGATCAATGATGTCCTGTGATCATCATGATCCATACAAATGTAAAAACCAAATGGATTACATAAACACAACTTATATAAACACAGTGTACAGTACATTCCTTTTATGAGTCTGTGATTGTTATGGGGTCTGTGACTAACATCATTTTCATTGTGTGAACTGTGTCATCCATTATTTACCCTAGTTTTCCCCAATGTCACCAATACATCAGGATTCCCCTTCAATTCATAGTAACGTATAGAGACTTTTTTATATACTTAATATATGCAGCCTGGGTGATGCATTTATATGTTCACATTATAGCTATGATAGATATATTTATAAGGACTTGCTCATGACTGTATTGGGTCCTCTAGCGCAGCGGCGGGGAACCTATAGCACTTGTGCCGCAGATGCCCCTCTGGTGGGACATGAGCCTAGGCAGGGGTGTCAAATTTGTATCACCCGACACCCTGCACAGACAGTTCCAGGCACTGTATGGGTAGTTTTTTCAACATTTATCCCTGCTTCAGGCAAACAGGGCTAAATGTACAGAGGGGAAGCCTCTGATAATTTAGTACCAGTGATCACTTGTATGCAGCCTGCAAGTCCGTCCACCAGCCCAATGGTCCTTCTCTCCGCCGGCTGCCTCTCTCCCTGCCGTGGTTTTCGGGGGTCCCCTGGATCACTTCAAAGTAGTTCAGGGGGAGCAGAGCGGAGAACGTCCATTCTCCGCTCTGCTCCATGTCAACACTAAAATTTTTAAAAAGTAAAAAAACAAATAAATAAAAATAAACAAGTGATAAAGTAAAAAATAAATAAAGAGAAAATACAATGTTTCCTTATTTTGGCTAAGGCAGTGATGCTGAACGTTTTTGGAAAATAAATGTGGAGCCCCTGATGATTTAAAACAGAGAATAATATTCTGTGGCAGCAGGTAGATCTTTCAGGATTTCAAATATTTTTGCACTTTTGCATTATTACCTTTCCAGGAGAGGAAACTAAAAGTGAAGACTGTAATCTTTTCCTATTAATATGTAGCCATGACTGTTTTGCTCCTTTTTCACAGGTGTGACTCAGGATACACAGGCCAATACTGTGATAAGACAGATTTCAACATTCTTTATGTGGTGCCAAGCAGACAAAAGCTCACTCATGTTCTTATAGCAGCCATCATTGGAGCCGTGCAGATTGCCATTATCGTTGCTATTGTCATGTGCATAACAAGGTATGTTATAATAGGGGTATTTTTCTGGTTTTCGGAGATAAGCATATCATGATTTCACACCTAACGGCTCGTATATATAAAATGCCTAAGTGCAGTGCTAATGTAAAACATCCCCCTGTTTATTAATGTAGTTACAAGAATACCAGCGAGTACATACATTACCATATGTGGCCCCTGATACAACAACACAGGACTAGTGATGAAATCATTGTGCATGCCTAGAATACATCATCATGTTATAAACTCTTCTGTGCACATTCCTACTGTATAGGAAGGCTTTCAGTGACCCCATCTTATCCTGGAATGGGGGGAGGCCATCATGAGGTCTCATCATGGGCAACAAACACTTGCTGAGGTATCCAAATTTGTGATTGGTTGGGCAACATAGGTTGCAGAGTTTCCAAGTCTTTACCTATATATATCTGAACATATATAAACTATACACTTTATCTTTGGCTATGGATTTGCCATTTGGGTTAGTAAATTCACAAAAGCAGTGTATGCTATTCATCCAAATGTACATGGCAAAGCAGTAAACACAAGATGCATCATAGCAAATGAGCAACGAATAGTTTAAAGCAGCTGTTCCCAGAGATTAACTACTCAGCAACATGCGTAAGCTTGTACACACATACATTAGCCACTTCAGTGGCTAAAATCATACCCTGTAAAAATCAGCTTCATAGCTCACATGCAGTCCTTAGAGATTACTTATGCGGATATATTACATATTATCTAGCTTAAAGTTACCATAGATCTGAAGTGGAAGAAGATGTTTGCATAATTTGGATTCATTTCATGTATTTACAAAAGGTCCAACTGAAACTTTATCAAGTGATCCTCTTATTTTCGTATTGGCCTAATGCAGCTCAGCAGAAAGTTTAAACAGGGTTCTTTGCTAATATTTATTAATTTCACTAACTCACGTGACCTACAATAAAATGGTCTTTTGTCCATGTATATTCGAGCCCTTTTCACCTCCCTATTAGCTACAGATTGTGATAAGGAGGCAAGGAGAGCAGGAAAAGGCAGGCCACAGAGGGACCAGGAAGAGTAAGCTGGGTGGTTTGAAAAAAAAAAAGCTGTATATACAGACACAGGGAGGTGGCTACACTTAATGAAGGTTGTGGTTCTAGCCATAGGTTTCATTTTTAAATATATTATAAAAAATATATAGAATGGTAGCTGGTAAAAAATGTAGACGCTTAGAGTTGCCTGAACTTTCCATCAGGTACTTTCAGAGCACTCTGGGAGTCTCCGAATCTCCTTGAAGTCAATCTCCGAGTCTCCTTGGCCCACACTCATAACTGGCTTTATCAGCTGGCAGGAAGTCTTAAGCTGGCCATTCACCTATAGATTTTCTCCCACTGAGCCAAGCTTCAGTGTCTTGCTAGTCGGCCCCGCTGGCTCTCAAAATATCTGAACGATGCCTGCATCCAATCAGATTCATCAGGTATTTTGACAGCCAGCGGGGCCGACTAGCAAGATACTGAAGTTTGGCCCAGCGGGAGATTCCTCCATCCCAAAAACTTTAGCGTAGATGGGGGAATCTGTTGCACTTTTTCAACCATCATTAAAACTACTTGCTGTGAGGTGTATGGCCAGCTTTAGGTAGCAGGCCCAAGATAAACTTTAGGAACTGAAGTTTAAGTTTGCATATTAGAACTCTAGAAGCTTCCGAGCTTTCTGGAAGATGTCCTTGAGAATTTGTCTCCAGTTGTCAGTTTAATACTTTCAAACCAATTTCCAGTTTTCAGTAATCTGCATTTTCTAGATCACTGTCAGAGGAGTTTGCTACACAGTGGTACAAGGGGAAGCAGAAATACAAAACGAAAAAGGGCGCCTCCATAGTGTAAAACTGTAGTTTAATGATAAATCACACTTACAAAACATCTGTAGAATAAAAGCATGTATTACACGATGGGAACTTAAAATCTCTAACAGAGACAAACTGGAAAGGATATGTTGCACCAGCGTCCTCTGCCCCCAAGTATTCCACGGGTTTATGCGTTTCTGGGGCACGCCCCCTTCAAATCAACAATTGTTTTCAGCCTTAGTGATGAAGGGATTTCTTAAACAAAATTCTAACAGTGAATGGGGTTTTCGTTCAGCAAACTCCATTCATTTTAAAATAGAATGTTAATATGCTTCAAGGAGTGGTTGTAAGAAAATCTACCAGTGTATGGCCAGCTTTGATTTTAGATAGAGAAAGGATTATATTAAAACCCTGTTTATTTGGTTGTTTTTTTTTGCTGTTCAGCCATCTATTAGAGAGATGTATCCTCACTTTCTGTCCAGTGTTTTACCAAACAGGAAGTGAACGGTACTGTCCAACAAAAACACTGATAGAAATAAAAACTTTTGCAGATTTTCCTGTTAATTAATTAGTTTTTTTTTTTCTTCCTGTCTGTTTAAACTGTTATCAGGAGGGAAAATCTCTCTAAAGGTGCCCATACACTGCACGATTCTCGTACGAGAATCGCGGGAAATCCCGCGATCGTACGAGAATCGTGCAGTGTATGGAAGGCGTGCGACCGTTTCTACTGTACGGTGGCACGTTTTCCATCGAACAAGCAGGCTGGAAAACCCGCCGGGAATCGTACGATTCTCGGCGAGTTAGTGGCCTGCTTGTTCGACAACTGACGAACGGGCCGGTGTGCCCGTTTGCTGTCCCCGCAAGCCTGCCCCTCATTGCAGTCATTGCAAGCCCGCCCCTCAGGGGGGCGGGCTTGCGATGATCGCTAGTACGATCTGCCTGTCCAAGATGGGCAGATCGTACGTTTTTTTAAGTACTTTACAACCCTCGCAAGACAAAAGTCTTGCGAGGGTTGTAGAGTGTATGGGCACCTTAATGGAGACCTAACTAGCAGTAAAAACCAAACAGGGGCTTTAATCCTTCCCCACTCTGTGCATAAAAAAAAAAGAGTTTTTGCCTCGACATACACTTTTTTCCTTCAATTGAGAGCGAGACAAAGTAGGTTTGATGGATGGTTGTGTACTAAAGCCTCCACTTTATGGTGCTCCTTGCTTAAACTTCTTAGAATAATATTATGTGTTCACAAACTAAAGTTTACTATTATATTGCAGGAAATGTCCGAAAAACAACAGGGGACGTCGACAGAAGCAAAACCTCGGACACTTCACTTCAGACGCTTCATCCCGGATGGTGTAGCCTCAGTGTTTTTTCTTGTTTATTTTTTATACTTACATTGACCATGTGATGTACATTTTTATTATATCTTTTTTTAAAGAATGGAAATATTTATTTCAGAGGCCTTATTTTTTGACATTTTATAGTTTAGCCTTGTTGTTTGTCTGTTGTACTTGCAAAGCATCAGCGCTGGCAGCAATGGACTGATATAGCTTTTGTTATTATTATTTTTTTTTATATTTCTTTTCCTGTAAATGCAGTCCTCCATTCCTGTGTATTTTCTTTCGCATGGTTGTAAATTAGTCATTTGACTCTTCAAGTGTCCCAATTGTGAGAGCGTTGGGGTCCAGCCACACAATTTGGAAAGGTTAGTTAACTAAGGGCAGTTCAATGTTTATAACTTTTTTGATGTTAATACAGTTTGTAAAAATAACTTAAGCTGCCAAACTGATTCAGCCAGGCACTTTGAAGTCTGGATCTTAAAATACAGTTTGCTTAGCAGTATGACATAGAACGTATTATGAATCTGCGTAGTTGAAACTAACAAAATGGCGGATGCAATATTTAATGTATCCCCACAAATGGTTGCTCCTATGGAACACAGGCTCAGGCCTTTATGAGGTTTACGATATGAAAGTAACATCAAAAATGTAATGAACACCCAAGGCATGAGCTAAAGGTAACAATGTTTACAGTCTTTTTTTTAACCAAACTTCGTAGAATACACTGTGTTGAATAGGTATTTTAATGTTTTATAGAGCTTAGTTATGCTTTTACTTTCCTTTTTTTTTTTTTTTAAACACTGGCTATCGCATGATATGTGACTTGTATTCTGTGAGTAGTTGTAACATGTTGAATATGTTCTATGGTTTCTAATCCTAATATTTATAAGCTATTTGGCCTGTTCATCCGGGGCTGAGGAATGCAGTTGGTACATTGATCCGTGGTGTCAATAACTGTAACTGTTTTGTATATCTTTTATTTATTTTTTAGTTAATTGTGTCTGTGACTCTCTGTATTTTATACGCAACTGCTGAAGAGGAAAAAGAAAAAAAAAATATATGATTCGAGCACCAAAAAAAGACACCACACAAAATACCAATTGCTCCTGTGCCACATTGGACCCTTGAGGAAAACAAAACTCACTCCTTTTTTAATACAAATGTAATATTTAATAATTTGGGAAGAAAATGCTTCCTTAGCTCTGATATATATTGAATCTCAACACTTTTGTTACATTTAGATAAATGTTACATTTAATGTAAAATAAAACTTGGAACTGTTGATCAGCATACTTATTTATGCATACTGTTTATTTGGACACCATTACAAAATTAAAAGGCTGCTTTAATAAATGTTAGACTCTCTTTTTATTAATGCAAACTTAAATGATGTTTAAATGTTTTAAAGTGTAAGTCTACTTTTTTAAGTTTGGATGGCATGGGAATTAGTAGAACCCCTATCAGGTTTTTACTATGGGGCTCTGTTAGGAAGTTTTACTCTCACTGGTCCGGTGAAAACTGTTTAACCAGACGGTAAGTAAACGATGTTTTCCAACAGAAAAGCAGAGAACCAAAAATGCTTTAAAGGTAAATTAGGGGAGGGTTAGTTTCTCATTTGTGTTTGTGTCTCTTGTGTCACTTCCTGTCTGGTGAAACTGTTGTCACTGTGACATTAAGTGAGGGAAAAACTCCCCAGCAGAGCCCTGGGTAACAGTAATTTCCTGACAGAGGTACCCCACTCTAATCTTACATGGTAAAAAAATAAATGTATAACAATTTCTTTCCATTATTAAAGTGGAATGCCAGGCAAATCTTACTGTCTGTGCCCCTTTTTGGATAATTTTTTTCCTGCCCCCTCGTCATATAAAATGGTACAGGAAGTGAATGGAAATCTGTTCAGTAAAGAATTATAAAGGAAGAAGGAATAGGACCTTTTCAAGGTTTTTAGTACCAGCTGTGTCCCCATTTAGGAAATTTCCTTTCACTTCAATCTTTATGACCCGAACACAGAGGAAAATGACAAACTTGCCAGAGGCACTAACACTTCTGTACTCCAACCAAAACTAAAACAAAAGCTTAGGTCAGACTTACACTTTTAAAGTAGTATTCAAACCTCAAAAAAGGGTGTTTTCTTCATGTAGGTGCTTATTATGTTTAGTTGTCAAGGATATTTAAGTGTACATGGCGCACAGGCAATTATCATTGTGGATCAATAATTATAGATGAAACCGATATACAATCAAGCATCAGGACCCGTTCACACCAGGGCAGCTTGATCGCGCGGATTTGTCAGCGCTGAACCGCCGACATGAACAACCCCATACAATCTTATGGGGACCTTCATGCGTTCATGTGGCTCCACACGAACCGAATCGCCTGCCACCCAAAATGCTCCCTGAGCAATTTTTTCGCGCTGATCAGGGCGAATTCCATATAGATTTTCAGAGCTGAAACGCGGTTAAAAATGCCCTTTTAAAATTTGCATGGAAGCTGCGCTGAAACGCATCCACCCTGGTGTGAATGGAGCCTTAGATGGCATGTGCTAAGATGGTGGTGTACCTAGTCATTATAGGGATATTTTAATGTTGTGTCTGAACAGCTTCTTGATTTTTAAAGTTTAATAATTGTCCTTCACATTACAACAGAATCTGCCATAGAGACACCAGGTTTATTTCCTGCTGTACAGGTACACTAAGGCAATATGACAGAGCTTATTTCTCTCTCCTGCTGGTCTGCATCAACATTTAAATGAATGGTGATAGTTTCCAAAATTGCTGCATGCAGTTTTAGGAAATTGACCAATGCTCAGAGGACAGGAGAGAATTATCTTTTTTCATTTGCGTTCTGACTTGATGGAGCTCAGCAGGAGAAATATATGGCTAATTTCTCATCTAGAAGTAGTGCTGAAAGTCATATAACCCATATGACATGACATTGAGTTAGCGGGCTGGCTGCGCATTGGTAGACTCATCTTATATCTTGGTCAGTGCAGCAAAAAGTTCAAACCTCCATCAAGAGGGTTGCCTTGAGAGTGAGTTTTCTGAAAGATCTTACAGATAATTTTTTTAGGCATACCTAAAGATATCTACACCACATCAAGGAATGCCGTTGCACATGAGTGCTACTTACATATCTCTTGTTTGTGACACATGACTTATGCAGTCATAGCTATATATTGGTTGTATTGTTCGCTATCTATGGCTGTACTAATCCTACAAAAACACACAATTAAAATGTAATGGTCACACGGACCATAACCTGAAAAGGTCAGTGCAACCTAAACCACCATTTAATTTATTTCTCTTGTGAGCTATCTCAGGTCTGAGCGCCTGTTCACAAGATGTCCAGATTCTGTCCAGACCAGAAGAGTTAGCTCCTGGACCAAAAATGCATCCCTATGTGATTTCTGGCCTACAGTTCACACCTTTGCAGTGCTTTCCGTTCCAGGCCGAAAAAATACTGAATGTCTACTGGAACATGCAAAACATGTCAAAAACGCGTACAAAATACACAGTACGCACTGGACTGCACCTGAAAGCCAATTTGAAGCTAAAAAAAAAAGCCGGAACGCAGTAAAATCATCGTAAAAAGGCGGCAAAATGCACTGCGTTTGCAGATTTGTTCCAGATCTGGTCCGGACATGGTGTGAACATAGCCCAAGGTCTTTCTATTGATCTGCACATGGTAAGTTGATTTACCAAACGGTTAGGGGCTTTTCACCTAGCAAAGGAAATTATAGGAAATAGGGTGAAGCTGTGTGCATTCTGAATATCCAATCATAAGTGAGGCAAATGTTAAAAAAAAAAAGTTTTTTTTATAGCATAATTGGGTATTTAAAACGAACATAGCCTCAGCTTATTCATTGAGTGTTAATTTGTTGTGTGAGCAGCCTCTTCTTTAAATAAAGCACACAAATTTCTTAATAAATGTATATTCTTTAACAAATATTGCACCTATTTAACTCCGTAACACTTACCCTTAATCAACCTCTCCCTTTCTTCCTCCTTGTAGCTATTATTTATGCTATTCTTTATTCATTTAAACTTTTCGTTTTCATTCTGTTTGTTCGTTTGTTTTTGTAGCAATGCAAACAAATTACAAAGCATTTTTTAAAGAACACCTTTCTTTCTTTTGGAAACAAGCCTGCTTTGTAACTGAAGAATAAGTTGGGGTCCTTATATACGGACCAATTATAGAATGATAGTTATAAATATGTGTATATAAAAACTGTAAATAAGTACACTGCAGGTGTAGCTTTTTGGCTCCATTCACACCTCGTAAACACGGACAAAAATGTCCAATTTTTAATAGACGCATGTACTTTTGCAGCGTTCTGCGTTTTTGCACACAGGTACGAACGTGCAGGTATGAATGAGCCCCATAGGAATGTATTGATTTTTGTGTTTTAGAAAAACGCTATGGTGTGAACCAGGCATTAAGCTGCCCATACATCTGACGATTATCGTACATACCGTTTGATCCCGTGATCGTACGATAATCGTAAGGTGTATGGGCAGCATGCGACCACATTTACTGTACGGTTGCACGATTTTTGTATTATGAGCACGCTAGAAAACCCGGCGAAAATCGTACGCTTTTCGTCAGGTTGGTAGCTCGATCGCAAGACGAAAGCCGCACGGCCCGAGGTGCCCAAGCACACACTGCCCGCTCACCATTGCAATCATCTGTAAGCCCTCCCCTCAGCGGGGAGGACTTGCAATGATCGCAAGTACGATATGCCTGTCCAAGAAGGGCAGGTCGTACAATCTTTTAATCACCTTACAACCATCGCACAACCAAGGTTGTGCGATGGTTGTAAGGTGTATGGCCACCTTTAGGTGCATGTGTTTCAAATTAGTGATTTATCCACCTGCAGTAAATGTTCAGTAAATGTCACATTCACTTCTTTAGAATTTGCCCCTATTCGTTTTAAAACTAAACTTTTCGTACGACAATCGTAACCTGTGAATAGAGTGCCCGACCAATAGTACTGTACAATCGTATGACTTTTGACGGTCAAGCAAAACTTTGGTCGATCGTACGATGTTCGCATGGTTGGTGGCGTTTCCGTCCGTCAAAAGTCGTACGATTAACACTGCGCATGCGCAAACGAAAATAGTTGCGGTCAATTACCGCAAGTTGTCCAGGTGTTTTTTTTAACTACCGCTAATTGAACCTTGCGATAATCGGGGCAGGATGGGGCAGTTGTACGAAAATCGTACGACGGTTCGATCATTGGACGAAAAATTTCGTCTGATAATCGTAAGGTGTATGGGCACCTTAACACTGGTCAAACTGGAAAAAAAAACATTTTTTGGTTTTGTTGCATTTTTGCTTTTTGCCTTTAGATTATATAGCAAATAAAATTGCAAAAATGTGTTTGTCCTGGAAAAAAAAGGGCGTATGTTTCACATCAGTATCATTGATAATGACAAAGTTTTATTACCTAATGAAAAGATTTAAAGCTAAAATGTAAAAATTGCTGTGGTCCATACAGGGGTATTGTAACGGGATCTCTCGTATCCGGCGTTTTGGGCCGCGGGCCGGCCTCTCGAAGCAGCGGCGTGACGTCACTAGGAGACACGGCCTCGGCCGGCGCTCTTGACTCCTCCCACTTCACGATCTCCGCCTCCTTAAAATGACGCGAGTTGCAGTAGCTCGGCGTTCTAGTGTTGCGAACGTCGAGCCAGTGCAACTCGCCAGCGAACCTGACACTACAGGACCCGACCTGCTCAAAGGTCAAACCTCAGACGCACCGCACTAATCAGCCGCTGCTACTGCACAGTTCCCTCCCTGCAACCCCCTGTCTTCCTCTCTCATCTGCCGGGCACTCTGAAACCTCCTGGATTCCTGGAGTCTCCCCTGGAACTTCCTGGAGCAGCTGAGCTGGTACCAGCCATTGGACTTAACCATCTCAACCGCAAGTAACCCTGCCTCAGTTCAGGCTATTCAATAGAAAGTGTCAGCTGGGGTATATTGTGACTCTGTGCATATTATACTAACATTGCAAACTGCTTACAGTGTATATGAATAGTTAGAGGCATTGGGCGATTCTATCCAGATAGTCTGACCTGTCCCCCTGCCAATAGCGGGGTTAACCTATTTATTGTTCATAATAATACTCCTAACACTATCCTGAGAGGTTATACCCTCATCCTTGTGGAAAGGAACACTACCTTCACTAAACCTGATTCCCATTTCTTGTAGCCTGTGGTTGGCATATGATGTTATAGAGGGTTCCACCATCACTCCTAAACATATAGAGTGCGAAAGTGAACCCTTGACCTGAGCCAATCTAAAACAAGTGTCAAGCTAAGTCCGCAGCTGTGATCCCACTACAACTCCTGGGCTGAACGTTACAGGTATAGTGTCCAAGATCACGTTTTTAAGGTGGCTAGGGAGGCACACAAAAAGCATGAAGCATGTGAAGATTCACAAATGTTTGGACTATATTTGACTGTGCATTTCTACTCTGTAAGCTAATATGTAGTTTACATTTAGTAATCATGTTTTTGTATACTACACTACCTAATGCTAGTAACCTGTTCATTCACTCTGATTCAACAGATGGCCTGGAACTGGATATCTGAGTAGACTATCCCACAGTATTTTCTTTCATGGATTTATTACTCAGAGCATGTTTCCTAATTTTAGTGGCTTGGTATTTCATAAGGCATGTTGACCACAGTTCTCAGTGCTTGAATGATGAGTAGTTATAAATGTCCTCCCAACCCCTCAGGGTGGAGCCTTCCATTTTATGTTGAAGGTCTTCTGAGGCAGCTGTCTGTTTGCTCTGATGCCAGAATTGTTCCAAGAGTCCTAAGCACTAACCAGGACTCTCAAGCTCCTGCAGCTTTGGCATAGAAAATGGATCACAATGAAACAACCCCAGACAGGGTCGATTTAAACCGATTGTCCGTTGTCTCAGAAGATGATGAAGATCATGAATCTGCCTTGACCATAGTGTCAGTTCTTGACAGAGTAGCCACCATCGTGGATACTGTGCAGGAAAGCCAGAAAAGAATTGAGGAACGTCACAGAGAAATGGAGAATGCCATCAAGACCATTCAAATCGACCTTCTAAAACTAGCCCAGGCTCATAGCAATACCAGCTACACAGTAAACAAACTACTTGAGAAGACTCGGAAAGTTAGCACCAATGTGAAAGATGTAAGATCTCGAGTAGATAGACAGAGCGATCAAGTGCAAAAGGTAGAATCCAAGCAAGAAGAGATGCTGCGAAAGAACAAATTCAGAGTTGTAATTTTCCAGGTAAGAGACATTAAATGATTTGCAGTAACGTTGTTAGGTGCTATCTATTCAGTCATTATATAGGGGTAGGTTTTAAAAAACTGAAAGAGAAAATATGTTACCTACAGTATAATATATAACCATATTTGACATATTGTCTTGTTTGATGCCTTGTCAAGCATCGGTGGATTGGTTGTTCCTCAAATCATTATTGTTTTACTCTAGTTTTATGATTCTAACCCACACTTTCATTGTTTTAATTAGATCTCATACATGCTGTTTAATTTTTGTTTTAGGTTTGCAGACAAAAACCTTTTTTTTATTTGCCATTAGCTACATTTCTATTCTGCTAATACTTCTTTTATGTTTTCTAATATAATTTATGAAATCTACAAACCATTCTTTGCTGTTTTGAGGTTTAATGCATTCTATAACTTAAGAAAAGAGCCTTCATTATGACAGCTGTTGCTTTTTCATCTATTAGTTCTCAAAATGTAAAAACATAATTAACTTGTCATTGCATGTATAGTAATGACATCAGTTATCGCCTTCTTATTAGCATATCAATAGTTCTTACAGCAGAAAGGTAATTATGTGTGTAATTTGTAAGCCCAATAGTTTATTTTTTTCATGTTAGTAGCATTTTATTACTGTCCTGCACAACTGTTTGTTGTTTCTGCCATTACCTCTCCATGCTCATTTCACTTACTTTACAATGACTCAAGCATAGTTGCATGTGACAGTACTGGCTCCGATTACATAGGGTAATGCTTCAGATCATACAGCCTATATTTAGATGTGTTCGTTTTCGTCGCCAGGCAGAGTAGCTGAAAATGCTGACCAGCTTGTCCTATTTGTTGCGGCTGTGAATCGTAATATGAGGATTTTATTAGAGACAGTAACTGTGTCAGGTGCTGAAAATATGATTTTTTTAATACAGTATTTTGATTGGCCAATGACACACCGAGCATTTATAAAGTGCACCTGATGTAGTTACACTTCTGTGAGGAGGATGAGCTAAAATACATTGCCACAGAAGACCTTCCCACTCCCCTACCATCACTTGTGTGATGACACAGTTTGAGATGTGCATAAATGGAGGACATTGGAACTGTCAAATGATCAATATAAACACATGTTAAGGCTAAATCATCCAATTATTTATACAGAGCTATACATCAGGTCTCAAAGATAGGCAATTTGTGGAAGAAAGGAAAATGGAGAATTGGATCCAAAAGCGGGATTAGGGCCTCACCTTTGCCAATTAACATCACTGAAAAATATGGACTTTGTTTTCTTGAAATGCGTTGTTGTTCAGTTTTGCAAATAAGGAAGCAGGAAATATTTCTTCTTCATATAGCTTTAGAAGAACAGCAGTCATAAAAATTGGCCAGCTCACCATAGAGCTTGCACACTGTTTTTTAACCATTTGTACCCACGTCCCCAGAAGTTGTTACTTCATGTAGTGCGCTTTTCCATTTTTTACCATATTTTTAGTCATAAAAATTGCCAACTCTTCTTTATTAGCAGGGGCGTTACTTATTTATAGTTACATCATGTTGTCTTATGGCACAATTATATGCAATACCTAATTTCCCCATAATGGGCTGATTAAGATTTTATGTAGGCTTCTTTCTTTATCTAGATACGGACTTTGGAGCAAGCAAAGCCCAGTCTATGCCTTCTTTTCAAATATGCATATTGGTGATCTTTGGAAACAGACATACAACAAGTCTAGCTTATAATAGCTGCTGTTTGGTAATTGCTTAAAGCAGAACTCCCGGGAAAATTTTTCTTCACCCTTGCAGTGGGACTACCACTGCACTGCAAGGGTTAAGTGCTCATTTTTGTATAGGTTCAAAACTAACAAAGTTTTACTTACCTGATCTTTGGAGCCGGCTTGCTCTTAGACCGGAACCTTCCATTGGGCCTCATCCTCCACTGCAGCGATGGTATGTCCCTCAGCGGGCTATTTTCCTCCGTAGACCAAAACCTTAACCTTTGCATTGCAGGGGTAACCCTACACTGTTGTGGCCAGAGGTAAGGTTAAATCTTTCAATGGTGGCACCTATTCTGTTGACAGCTGTCCAAGTAGGAAACTTGCTTCACTTTTAAATATATCCTCTAACTTGCTGTTGCTTCTATAGTGCAGGACATGAGGGAAAATCCCCCCATGGGGGCACAGACTGCAATAAAAAAAAAACACACATGCAATTACCCTTTCATCTTCTTGTCCTTGGCCAGAAATCTCTGTCTTTGGAATAATGTGTGCAGTATGTCATCTCCTGGCAATGAGAACAAAGGTAGTACTCCAGATTGGCTATCAAATGATCATTTCTACCATGTTGCTTTTGACACCACAGATGCATTGCAGTGTCTGATTTAACTGACTGGGCCATTAGGATTGCAGAGTAATCCACATCGGGAGTAAGCACATCGGGAGATATTTATAAAGCTTGCGCACAATAAATCCTTAGTATGTCTGTGCTTTACTGTAAATGTGCAGATTTGCTATGTATTAGCTGTAGTAAGTATGGAGCCATGTGTTTCAACAGTCTTCAGAAAAATGTACATGCATTCATGAACAAAATATGCTGTTCGTGGCTTTCAGTCTATGTCCATTTTATAAATTTCCTGTTATCTATTTTTACACTAAATAGGAAGTGAGAGAAAAGGGAAATATTCTCTTGAAATTGTCAAATGGTTGTCATATACTTTCAGAGAAATATAACAACCTGATTATGAAACAGTTAATTTACATTATCCGCTTGTTACTTCCATGAATGAGGCTGAAATTTAATTTCATATTGATCGCTCATTTTGGGATAATGAGAAGCAGCTAAGACTTATGCTTCTCCTGATGTATACTGGAAATGAACAGGTAGCTGATAAGAAATAGATTAAAAAAGTTACTTGCTCTCAGCTGACTGCCAACAAATTAAGGCTAAAGCTACACTAATAATTAGGGGCTTGTTCAAACCATGTCCAGATCATGTCCAGACCAGAACTGTTTGTTCCCGGACCAAAAAAGCATCTCAATGTTTCCCTATTGTATGTCTGGGATTCACATGATTGCCAGGTAAAAATAAGCTAATGTTCCACTTTGTTTAGGGCTAAAATATATAACATTTCTGGTTTTAAGTTTGTTGCTTTAAATGTTTGCTACCAATAGATTTAAAGGCTTAGTTTACCTCTCTGACCATGTTGAATGTTGCGTCCATATACCTTTTTGGATTTGGCATAGCTGTGTGTGGCTCCTCCAACACAGTCATGTCATCCATTCACAGGTCCTTTGACAGGATCTATAAATTAAGAAAGTACTCCACTGTAGTGTAGAGGGACCTGTAATTCTCAATGGAATACAAATGCATTGATGTCACTACATTTGTAGTCCATTCATTCCTCCTCCCATCTCTGTTACTGACTGTCTGTACCTTGGACTGGAGGAACAGTCTGCAGGAGCCTGAGCATTGAACCTGCAAACTACTGATCACATTTTCAATGCTTTACTGGCTCCTATGCAAAAAATATACAAATGCGCAAAATAAAGGGGAACGACCTGTGCTCCTCAATGGACTCAATGGAAAATATAGTATATAAAATAGAGAGAATACAGTACAAAAATCCTATTTTCTTTCCCATCTGTTAAGGAATACAGTAATTCATAGACTGTGAGGACATTCAAAAGCAGTCCAACCAAGGGGTTGGCAACATAAGGCCAACAGACGCAAGAAAAACAGAAAACTGGGGACTGCTTTCAGCTCAATTAGCCACCTGAAGGACCTAACACCCAAAGCTTATATCTTAAATAATACAGAAGACCAGGTGGTAACCTTGCAAACTGGAAAAAAATAGCTTGATGCCAAAAAGACCAAGAAGCACACACATATCTAGGAGAGCACACTTTTAGAGGAAAAGTTACAACCTCATTCCAAAGACCGTAAGTTTGTACAATGGTCTGCTTGAGCCCCCTAGAGATGGTGGAATAACAAGTTGGTGTACTCATATGGGTTCTATACGGGATTACAAAAGTGATTAGTCTTCCTGGGAAAAAAAAAAAAGGCTGAGAGAGAGAGACATTCACAAACCAAAACATATCTAGACAATGGAGGGAATTTAACTTTTGACAAACTGGAGCCAGATAGTAGGAGGGGAGAAAAACGTTTCAGGTGAAAGGCCAAACTACCACAGGCAAGAAGGAAGTGCCTCAATATGACCCTTATCACCACATTGTCTCCTTGCAAAACCAGAAAGGGCTCTTGCAGGATAAGGCTGCCAGTTCACACACTCTCACCACAGAGGTGATAGCTCCAAAAAAAATACCACCTTGTGGGTGAGAGTAGAGACAAAAATGTCTCTAATGGGTTCAAACAGCATTTTCTGAAGTGCAGAGAGAACCAGATTTAAATCCTTCAGATACAGGTGAATGAGCAGGGGAAGCTACATGGGAATCATGTTCAAAGGTCTAAATGAAGGAGTGAAAGGCCAACGGTCTCTAAAACAAGATAGACATGGCAGAAACCAGGCCCTTAAAAGTGCTGAGAGCTGAACGTTAGTCCAGACCCAGCTGCAGGAAGGAAAGGATTGATCCCATGGAGAAGCTGCAAGACTCACTCCCGGTAAAATATGATTTCCGTGTCCATTGAAAGACCATACCAGTTTTTAGGATCATAGGGATCACAGTTAACTTACTAAAGGCACATAGATTATTAATTTTGCAAGGTAATTTTCACTATGCAAAAGAATTTACCAGTTGCATAGGTGAAGCTCCGCTGACCTACATCATCCAATCATGTGCAAGAAAAAAAAATATTTTTTTTTTGCTCGTGATTGAGTATTCTTTGCAAAGTGAATTTTCCCCACATTCACTGCTAAGTGAAAATTTTCTTTCAAAGTAAACTGCCTATTGGCCTTTAGTAAATCAACCCCACAGACTAAGCGGTGCCCCTATCTCACAAGACCTGGGCTTTAACAGCCATGCTGTTAAAGCCAGCAACCATGAAACAGGATGGCAAGTCAAC